TACTACTACTACTACTACTACTACTACTACTACTACTACTACTTGTATTACTACTACTACTACTACTCCTACTAGTACTACTACTACTACTATAACTACGACGACTACTACTACGACTACAACCACTACTACTACTACTACCACCACTACTACGACTACTACTACTACTACTACCTGCTACTACTACTACTACTACTACTACTACTACTACTACTACTACTACTACTACTACGACTACTACGACTACTACGACTACTACGACTACTACAACTACGATTATTAATATTATGATACCCGAGAAAAATCCACAGAGGTTTTTTGTTGAAGCTACGGGGCTGTAGGACTACAGGGCTATAGGGCTATGGGGCTATAGGGCTATACTATATGGCTATGGGGGCATAGTGCTATTGGGCTTTAGGGGCTAGAGGACTATAGGGCTGTAGAACTATAGGCCATATGGGCTATTGGGCTATAGAGCTATAAGGCTATAGGGCTACAAGGCTATAAAGTACCCGGGCACCCTGGGCACCTCCGGGCACCCCCGAGCACCCGGGCACCCGAGCACCCACGGGCTCCCGGGCACCCGGCCACCAGCCACCGAAATCCTGGGGCACCGGGCACCCACGGGCACTCGGCCACCCGGCCACCGGCCACCAAATCGGCGCCCCACCTTACCTAACCATATGAATCCGCTAGGACCCCATACAGAGGCAAACTCTGATTGGAGAACTATTAATATTACTACTCCTACTACTCCTACTCCTACTACTACTACTACTACTACTACTACTACTACTATTACTACTACTACTACTACTACTACTACTACTACTACCACTACTAGTACTACTACTACTACTACTACTACTACTACTACTACTACTACTACTACTACTACTACTACTACTACTACTTCCAATAATTTTTACTACTATTACTACTACTACTACTACTACTACTACTACTACTACTACTACTACTACTACTACTAGGTAACGCCGTGCCCGTCCAGGCCCCACGCCGTGCCCGTCCGGGTCCCGCGCCGTATGCCGTGCCCGTCCGGGTCCCACGCCGTACGCCGTGCCCGTCCGGGTCCCACGCCCCACGCCGTTCCCGTCCGGGTTCGCGCTTGCGCGCCTCCCGAATCCCTGAAGTGTATAAGCGCCTAGGAATCCTGAGGGAATCCTAAGGGAATCCTAAGGGAATCTTGAAATGCTAGCGAATCCGAAGGGAATCCTAAGGAAACCTAGCGAATCCGAAGGAATCCGAAGGAATCCTGAGGAATCCTCAGGAATCCTACCGGATCCTCAGCGAATCCGAATGGAATCCTAAGGAATTCCCAGAGGGGAGATTCCGCAAATATTCTGCGGAATGAGTTTGCGACTCATGAAACAACAAGAATCGCGGAACAAGAGCGTATTAGCGGAACAACACATCAAAAACACAAAACAGAGGAATCAATCGAAAATTGAGGAATCGAACCCAAACTGAGGAATCAAACAAGAAACGAGGAATACATACATACATACAAACATACATCCATCCATACATACATACATACATGCATGCCTGCGTACATACATACGTCTACAGATACATTATATATATATATATATATATATATATATATATATAGATATCGTATACACGATCGCGTCGAATGTGGTTAGTTTCGCGGTGCTCGCTGGAAGGAGGAGGAGGAGAGGAGGAGGAGGAGGAGGAGCCCTCATGCGCGAGATCTCCAGGAGATCTCGCGGGGTTATATGTTTTCTTGCGCTTGCGTCCGAACAGTTTGGTGTTCTGCAGTTTGGGGTGTTTCCTTTTTGTTATCCCGATTTTCTCTAAAGGGTGAGGTTGGGGTAGGAGGAGGAGGAGGAGGAGGAGGAGGAGGAGGAGCAGGCTCGGTCACAATATGTTATCAGATGTGTTTGCTGTGCGCTACTTGTCCTGTTCGCGCTTGCCGTCGCAGGGTTGGTTCCAAGGATGGCCCCCTAGCCGGCTCCGAGCAGCCATTTGGACGCCCGAAATGGGTACGGAAAGAATGGGTACAACACCCAACAGCCGTTCTGAACAGGACTCGCTGTCGGTGTCGCCGCGGCCTGTGTCCATGTGAGACAGAAGGCCGCCTGCCCAACAGCGGCCGCTGTTGGTTTGGGACAGCTGTTGGGCATTGTACCCATGGGTTGTTTCCGTACCCATTTCGAGCGTCCAAAAGCCATGGGCGACAGCTCGGATGACGAGGACGACGGCTGGGACGCCGGCCCTGCTGCTGTGGCCAAGGCGCAGATGGGTTTGATTGATCACTCCCCCCCGTCACCCTCCTCCTCCTCCTCCTCCTCCTCCTCCTCCTGCTCGTAATTCTTCTCCTCCCCCCTCCGCCGTCTCCCACTCCCTCCCTCCTCCTCCGCCCTCCCCCCATTCGCGGGATCCTTGTGAAGGAGGGGGGAAGAGCATGTGATTGCATGCACAGACACATGCAATCACATGCCCGCATGGGCAGGCGCTGATCCCGCACTACTCTTCCGACTCCAGCTTCTTCATGTACCCTGGGAAGATGCGGGACAGCAGCCCGCAGACGGAGGTATTGGATCAGGCGGGCAAGGGGAGGGGGGAGTTCGCAGTTCGAGACATCCCCGTGCTTCTCTCTGCAACCTCTCGCGCTCCCTCTGTCTGATGTTTCCCCCTCCCTCAGCTGAAAAAAAAAACATCGGGTTGGGAGCACGTGGACATGATGAGAGACCTGATGTCGGTCCTCGGCACGCGGCGCTTCAACAAAACCTGCGCCAGGAAGGCGCTGCGCCTCGTCGACTCTTTCGGAGCCAAGCTGCCAAAGCGGGCGCTGCGGGGAGGGGCACGCATGAGCAGACGAGGATGAGGAGGAGCAGGAGGAGCAGGAGGAGCAGGAGGAGGGACGGAGAGGAGGAGGAGGAGGAGGAGGAGGAGGAGGAGGCGGAGAAGAAGGCGGAGGAGGAGGAGAGGAGGAGGGGGAGGAGGAGATAGGAGGACACGGCTGGGACACGAACCTTGGACGGGAGCGCAGAAAGGGGCAGGCGATCAACACGTGGGTGGAGACGCACCAGAAGCGGTTGAGGACAGCGGTTTCCCACATCAGAGACGCAGGACGGGTTTCCTCCTCCTCCTCCTCCTCCTCCTCCTTCTCCTCGAGATCCTCATTGTCCTCATGCATGTCTCCCTTCTCCTCCACTCCCTCCCCCGACTCCGTTCCTATTCCTGATCGGCGTTCTCCCCTGTTCCCGTCTCTTCGTCGGTCTCGTCCTCCATTCATGTCTCGTCGGCGAGCTAGGGCGTCGCGACTTGAGGGGATCGGGGGGGGGGGGGGGGGGGGAGGGGGGGGGGGGGGGGGGGGGGGAGAGAGAGAGAGAGAGAGAGAGAGAGAGAGAGAGAGGGGGAGAGATGGAGAGAGAAGAGGAAGAGGAGAGGAGAGAGAAGAGAGAGAGAGAGAGAGAGAGTAGAGAGAAGAGGAAGAGGAGAGAGAGGAGAGAGAGAGAGAGAGAGAGGAGAGAGAGAGAGATAGTAGAGAGAGAGGGAGAGGCGAGAGAGAAAAGAGGAGAGAGAGAGAGGAGAGAGAGAGAAGAGAGAGAGAGAGAGCAGAGGAGAGAGAGAGAGAGAGAGAGAGAGAGAGAAGAGGGAGAGGAGAAGAGAGAGAGAGGAGGGAGAGAGGAGAGAGAGAGGAGAGAGAGGAAGAAGAAAAGAAATTTTATGTACAGGAACAAAAAGAGAGAGAGAGAGAGAGAGAGAGAGGAGAGAGAGGGAGAGAGGAGAGAGAGATAGAGGAGAGAGAAGGAGGAGAGAGAGAGAGAGAGGAAGAGAAGCTCGAGAGAGGAGAGAGAGAGAGAGAGAGAGAGAGAGCGAGAGAGAGAGAGAGAGAGAGAAAAAAGAGAAGAGAGAGAGAGAGGGAGGAGAGAGAGAGGAGGAGAGAGACGGAGAAACAAAAAAAAAAAAAAAAAAAAAAAAAAACACAACAGCTTCAGGACGCAGAGATCTACTGTGGGCGAAGCCATTCTTCACGAACGCATCTGACGAGGACAATGGTTCAGCAATGAAACGGCCAGCTGCTGCAAAGAAGATGTGCGCCCGCAAGAAACAGAAAGTAGATGATGACGAGACTGCCGATGACAAGAAGTCGTCATCTTCAGGAGATGCCGACGGAGGCGGCGACGATGATGATGATGCTGAGGATCAAAAAGCAGATGACACAGAGGGCGAGGAGGATCGAGCTGATGAGGACACGTCAGAGGGCGAAGCGCTGGTCGCAAAGAAACCAGCCATGAAAAAGCCAGCCGCCAAGCCAGTCGCGAAGAAACCGTCGGCCGCAGAGTCTTCGCCATCACAGTCGCCAGCACCGTCGCCAGTACAGCCCTCAGCGCAGTCAGCACCGCAGGCCGCGGGGCTTGAATGCAGCGCGATCCCCGACGACTTCATGGATGCACTTGACGATGTAGACAGCCTGCCGTTTCGAGCACGCGTCAGCCCCGAGCAGCCTGCAGAGCCGACGGCACAGAGGTTGGCACCGACACCAACACCGAGCCCCTGCCCAGAAACGCCGCCGCCGATCGCACAACCATAAGAGTTGGCCGATGACAAACCAGAAGACGGCACGCCAGCAGCAGCAGACAGCAAACCAGCAGAGGCCGAACACGTTTCAAGTTCAGACGCAGCGATGTCGGCAGAGAAGGGCTCAGACGAGGAGTGCGCATATGAGAGCAACGTTTCCTGGGATACGGAGCGGCACGCGGCATGCCTGAAGGTGAAAGAGAAGGGATCGAGGAGGTGGGGCCCGAAAGGTTATTCGACTGTGTTTGAGCCAGATGTCGACAGCGACCTCGTTCGTGCAGCATTCCAGATCGACGGGGGGCCGACGCGATTCGTCGTGCCCACGCTGAAGCCGGAGGACCTGGTTGAGATGGCGACGGCGGGGCGGGGCGGAGCGTTCGTTTCATTCTGCGTCATTCGATAGATGTTACTGCGTTGCCCTTCGAGCCGCTACCCTCGGAAGAGCAGCGCGCGAGGGCTCACCCGTTTCTCCTTTCACGGGGGAAGGCTGAAGGAGCGAGGAAGGAGGCGCCAGAAAACAGAAGGCATGGGGGGAAGGAGGAGGGGGGCGGAGGTAGGAGGAGAAGAATAATGAGGAGAGAGAGGGGGCATGGAGGATGATGAGGAGGGGGCCGGCGCAGACCGCGGACGCCACCAAGAAGAGGCCCAGCATTGCTGGACCTCTTCTTCGCGCGGAATCGCAACACCAGCGCGCGTCGCGAGGCATGTCCAGCAGTGCGAGCGGGTCGCCACTGCATGATTTCATTCGCTGTGCCCTGGCGCGCCCGCGCTTCGCATTTCTGCGGGCGTGGTGCGCGCGAACGCTGGTGCATGTCAGGGCGCGCGCGCGCGCTCTCGCGGCGCACTTCTTGGACCAAAGGGCGGTTTGCCCGAAAACCATTTTGCATTTTTTCCGCGTGGTCCAGGGGCCGAGTTTGTAAACCGTTCGATGTAATGCACCGATTCATCGTATCCCTGTGGCCGTGATTTGTGGAGTTCTGTTTCATTGACGGCGAGCATATCATGCATTGACCACTGTAAGTTGGGGGAGAACATCCCAAAAACCACGGCTTCTAACAGGGGGTAAAACTTTAAACCACGACATATAAATTTACGTTTTTACCATTGGGCCACATCTTACCTTTGACCTTTGCCATTGGGCAGCATATTACCTTATCCTAGGAATGCACCACGACAGTGTCTAGCCATCCAGCAACCTGCAGTGGGCTGGCGAGGCGAAGGGCGGCAAGACCGCACAGGTCAAACTGTCGAAGGACCCTGCCCTGCCCGCGCGCCACCAGATCCCGACAACGACGACAGACGGAGAGATGTCATCTTCCTCCTCCATCCTCCTCCTCGCCCCCTTCCCTCCCCCCCCTCGCATCCTCGATCGTCTCCCTGCCCCCCTCCCTCCCCCTTCCCGCCTCGACCTTCCCTCTCCGCAGCTGGCGGGGGTGCCGCATTTAATCGCGCGGCGCAAGACCGCAAGCAGCTCGTGGCCATCTTCGTTGACAAGAGGATGAAGTGCAACGTCTCGGAGGAGGGCGATCGGGACAGGGAGACCAGCGTGAACATGATGACCAAGATCGCCAAGATGTATTGCAGCGGTGCGGCAGGGGCAGCATCGCGCAGGATGATAGTGAATATGGCCGAGAGCCACGGGGTCAAGTCTGGACATTCTATTTGGAAATCATTGGGGATCGCGTGTAAATCATTGGGGGGGCCATTGGGGAATCATTGGGCACTCATTCGGGGGTCGTGGGCGAGTGCCAGAGGGGCCATGGGAGGGAGGAAGGAAGGGGGGAGGAGGGAACGGTGGAGGGAAAGGAGCGGGCAGAGGAGGGGGAGGAGGAGGAGAAGGAGGATGATAAGGAGGAAGGCGAGACGCGAAACTGAGAGTCGAGAGCGAAATCGGTGACGGGCAGGGGGGGCGAGATCAAGCTGGCCGAGATGTACTCGCAGAGGGACAAGCTCGTGGCTGCCCTCGGGTGAGGGTTGTGCGCGGCTGTGGCGCAACAGCACCTTGCAGTGGCAGGCAGAACAAGTTGGTGCTGTTGTTATTCATTGTATGTCGTTGCTCCGTCTGCCCCTCACCATTCTAGCTCCTCCTGCGCCTGCCCCTCCTCCTCCTCCTGTCTTTCCGCATCTCCCCTCCTCCTCCTCCTCCCCCTCCTCCTCCTCCTCCCCCTCCTCGTGCTCCGTCCTCCTTCTTCTGCCTGAGAGGGGCGCGGAGGTAATCGCATTTCGCGCGCAGCGAGCCCTTCCTGCGAGGTCGGCGAATGGATATGCCGCGAGACCCCGCGTTCTTTATCCATGCTATCCTCTCTCCCTCCCGTTCCTAAAACTGTCAGGTATCGGATGGCAGCCGTGGTTCAAGGTGGGAACGCAAACGTTCGCTAGTCAGTCTAGCTCCTCCTTACCTGATCGAATGGGGCGCGGAGGTAATCGCTCATCGCGCGCGGCGAGCCCTTCATGCGAGGTCGGCGAATGGGCATGCCCCGTGACCCAGAGTTCTGCATCGAAGATGTCCGCGTGCAGCTCCCCCCCCCCCCCCCCCTGCGGTTTCGATAACTGCCAGGTTTCGAATGGCAGTTCTGGTTCAAGGTGAGAACGTAAGCGTTCACCAGTTTGTCCAGCTACGAACTTGCACGCGCCATGCGTGACGGCGATGAGTTCGTTCCGTGCCAGGGTGCGTTCGGCAAGATCGGCGATGCGGAAGCATATGGATTTCTGCGGCCCCGTTCGAAAGCTCATGCGAAACCACCGATTAAGTTCCAAGAGGGCGATTATGTCGATGACAACACTCCGCTCAGTGAGATCCTGCGCTTGACGGGCAGGGGCAGTGGGGCAGCTGGCTCATCGGCAGCGGGTTCGGCATCGGAATCTCGGCCGGTTGATTTGACCGTGGACGGTGAGACGCAGGCTGCCCCTGAGTCTTTCTCGGATCATTCGGGCGCGTCTTGAAAGTGCGCATCTCCCCCCCCCATTCCTCGCCCACTCCCTGAGCCAGCAAAGCACGTGGCCAGCAGACACGTTCCATGGGGGTTCTGGGGCTCCGTGTTCGGCTCCGACCGTGGCTCAGAGAACGACCCAGACGCCGACGCTCAGGCTCGTCGTCGTTCGATCTGGTTCGTTCGTTGCCCTCCTCCAACCCCCTTCGGGCAGGAAGTGATGTGGGAGTGCTAGTCGTGCCATCGCAAGTAGCTCTACGAGATCGACGTCTGCATCCATTGCGGCATCGACAGGGAGGGGGTGCTTGTAGATCTGCATATATCCTCTACAGAGGACTGGCCGCCTCCTACTCTGCCCCTATGCTCGTCGCCTGCCTCATCCCGTTGCCTTCTGCTCCAACGCTACCCTGCGCTTCCGTCGCCCCCCCCGACCTCCGCCCCCGCCCTCTCTTCCTCTGCCTCCCCCCCGACCTCCGCCTCCGCCTCAGTCAGCTCCCCCCCCTGTCAGCCCCGCCCCCCCTCTCCCCCCCCCCCCCCCCCCCCCCGACCTCCCCCATGTCTCCCCCGTGCGTTCGTTGCGCAGTCTGAGTGCAGGACGCCGCTGGGGCGACGCACGCAGCGGCTGAGACGGCGGCAGGCGCCGCGGCTGCGACGGCGGCAGTGAACACAGAGCGCGAGGAGATGATACACGTGGAGCAGGAGACCCCAAAGCCAGAGGAGATCGAGCAGCATGGGACCCCGAAGCCAGAGGAGCCGCCCAAGGATGAGTCGCCCAAGGAGCCTGCGTGGGAGAGCTGGATGCAGGGAGGTCACGGCCAGGGGAGCTATCACGCGCGAGGTCAGGGGGCAGCCGAAGAAGAACGACTCCAGGCCCCTGACTCCAGGGACCTCGCGCCCCAGGTCACGAAGAAGAAAGGTTCGATCCCAGACGTGCCAGAAACAGACGACGAGCTCATGGGCGATGCTGGCGCGGCGCAGGCGCCGTGCTCGGACGCGAAGGGCGACGACAACAAGAAGGGCGACTCGTCACACTGGGCTGATGTATCTGAAATGGTGCGACCTCCAGCAACTGGCCCTTTGAAGGGGCCCACGGTTCGCCCCTCGTCTTCGCGAGACTACACCGTGGACAGCGCCGAGGGCATCATGGAAAAGGCTGGGGTGGGAAAATCATGCACGGCCATGGCATGCGTGCAAGTTCCGCAGTGGGGGCCAACCTCGGACATGAAGACCATCGAGAAGCAGACCGACGAGATGGCCAAGCAGGCGAAACAGCAGCAAGTCTTGATGCGCGAGATGGCAGAGAAGTCGCTCCCAGCGGACGTCGCCAAGAAGATGCGGGAGCTGGAGGTCGCACTGGAGAACAACAATATTGTGTCCCGCAGTGACATCTACCAGAAGTACCAGCGCCACCTGCAGTCACTGCCTGAAGAGGAAAAGAAAAAGCACAAGGGCACCACGATCCAGAAGCGCCAGTTCAGGCTGGAGTGGGCGAAACTTAGGCTTACGGAGATGGAGAAGAAGTACTTCCACTACAAGAGCTACGAGACCGTCAACACGAGAACGGGAATTTACATGAGCTTCCCACGCGTCGCACAGGAAGAGGGCGGGCACCATGCCGAGGCGAACGTGATTGCCGCGCGCAACTACTGTTCATCATGCGCTCTCCTCGGAGGCGACTGGGTCTACTGGGGCCCCATGTCGCAGCGTCAGAAGTTCCTGTGCATCGAGATTTCGCAGCGCCAGGCGACGCGCGAGAAGTGGGAGATCTCTACGCAGTTCAATTCAGCTGGCGCAAGCGGGCAGCCAATTATCGGGAACGGGCATGCGCCCACTATCGGAGACGGACAGACACCAGGAAACGGGCTGCCTGCTATCGGCATCGAGACGCCCGCTGAGGAAGGCGCCCCACCCTCGAAGAGGCGCAAGACTGCAGGTGCTCTCACCGAGGCGAAGCAGGAGCCGCCCGAGGAGCCGCGCGAGGAGCCCAAGCAGTCCGAAAAGAAGGCGCTGACCGAGGAGGAGAAGCAGTTCAAGAGAGATCTCCTCAAGGCCGAGAACTCTGCAAGGGCCCTAGTATCTAAGTACACGCTCGCCATGGGGGTCGCGGACACAGCGAAGAACGCGGCGAAGAGCAAGCAAGAGTGGAAGTGGCTAGCCGACAACGATGCCGAGCAGAAGCGTTACCAGGAAAGGATCGACGAAGTGATGAACAGCAAGCCGTCATTCTTCGAGCGCTTGCTTGCCGAGGACACGAAGGATGTGAAAAAGGGCATCTCGAGCGAGAACCTCCTCAACGAGTACAGGAACATCGCGAAACGGAGGGGAGGGGCATGCATTTTTGTTTGCCTGCATTTGCAACCAATCTGGGCCTCCACCTCCTCCGCCCCCACTCCAACTCCACCTCCAGGACCCCTGCAACTCCGACTCATCCGATCCCTTCAACTCCAGCTCCAGGATCCCTCCAACTCCACCTCCAGGATCCAACTCCTCCTCCTCCACCTCCACTCCAACTCCACCTCCATGACCTCCTCCGCCTCCACTCCAACTCCACCTCCCCCAATTCCTCCACTCCTCCCCCCCCCCCGCCTCCGCCCCAACTCCGCTGCTCTGCAGCGCCCCCCTACCGCGTGCCAGGAGAAGGAGGACGAGACGAGCAGGAGGCGAGGACGAGCAGGAAGGCGAGGAGGAGCGAAGCGGTGAGGATATGAGGCATGATCATCAGGAGAACGAGGAGGATGAGCTAGGGGGTGAGGGGAGAAGGATGAGGAGGTGGAAAAAGGGAGACGAGAGAAAAAGTTAACGGGTCTGCGGGGATCGGGAGGATGACCGAGCCGATCACCAAGCCCCAGCAGTTCCACAAGAAAATCATGGAGAACCACGCGACTGAGAAGAAGTTCGTCGGCTAGGCAGCCTTCGACCCTAGGTGGTGGCATTCGCTGACTAGAATTTACTTTTCTGGCCCTCATGTGCCTGCGTTTGGGTTCCGGTGTTCCGGTGTCCCGGTGTTCCGGTGCTCCGTCGTCCTGGGGCCGGGGAAATCCCGAATTCGAAGAGGAAATCGAGCGATGATTTTGCGATGAATTTTGGTGATGAATTTTGCAATGAATTTTGAGATTTATCAATGTATACCATAATCAAAAAACCAAAAATCATCGCGATGAATTCGCGATGACTTTGCGATGATTTCCGATGATTTTTCGTGATGATTTTTGCAGAGCCCATCGCGACAGATTTTGTCGCGCACCGACAGCAAAATCGCAATCCTAGACTCGCGATGCCACTACTTCGAATGTGCGCTTGATTTCAAGCCGCAGGACTGGAATTGGAGCAAGAGGAAGCGAGAGGACGAGGGGGAGGAGGCCTCGAGGGGATGAGGAGGAAGAGGTGGAGGAGGTGAGGAGGAAGAGGAGGACGAGAGGCCCGAATCCAGTCCACGAGCGGCGCACCTGGCGGCGACGACTCGCCTGCCAGACTCTTCGTTAATTATCGAGCCTGCGCAGTCAGATATATAGGTGCCACCGCCCTCGAGATCCCCCTGGAAGAGGGAGGGAGAGAATGAGACCTCCACGTCCTCCTTCTCATCTTCTCCTCCTGATCCTCCTTGGATGCGTACACTTGCCCACCTCTTCCATTCTCTAATTTTCTCATTCCCCCCCCCCCTCTGCTTGCAGCCTCCCTGATTCCCTGCACCCCCCCTTGCTGCACCAATCGACTGACGCTAGCGTTGCCAGTTTGAGGGAGTACGTGGTAGATCACGGTTCTCGGTTGGCGACACGTGCGATAGACGCGCGTGCACTGCGCAGCAGTGATAGGAAGCCGCTTTCATCTCATCGAGAGAACAGTGATGGGAAGCAGCGATGGGAAGCAGCGATGGGAAGTTGCGCATCAGTGATGGGAACGTACGCCCAGTCGTCCCCTAGGTCACGGAGGGCACCCTCCTCCTCCTCCTCCTTCCTCTCTCCTCCTTCCTCTCTCCTCCCTCCTCCTCCTCCTCCTCCTTCCCCCTCCTCCTCCTCCTCCTCCTCATCCCCCTCCTCCTCCCCCCATCCTCGCGCGAGAGCTGGGCAGCGCGAAGACAGTCGCACTTCGCGCGCGCCTTCCTGCGGGGCGCCCCCATGTGCGAGCAGGGGTGAAGATGGGGGCGAAGATAATCGCGCCTCGGCGGGCCAGGTGATCGAGCCTCGCGCGCAACGTCCTGAGATGAGTCGACGTCGGGGGAGAGGGAGCGGGGGCGCGAAGTAGATGACTAGAAGAATCCCGTGACCTAGATCGAGCTCCGTGGCTTAATTGTGCACGTGCCCGATATCAGCTGTCGCTACATATAGGCCCGAGCTAATTTTAAGCATGGCTCCAAAGGGGAGACGTGGCCGAAAACGAAACCGATCCTCCTCCTCAGAAGTTCGCCCATGGGATGCTGACCTTCCCCAAGACGCCACCACTGAGGCCGAGCAGACATCCGCGGGGAATGCATTTGTAGACGAGCTGATCGAAATGTACCTCCTTGGCCAAAAAATGACGGCAAAACATTTATGCGTGCTCTGTCACTGGGCTTCCGTTGCTGGCCTAACCGCAGCCGCAAAACATGCTGTGCACCCTGACAAAGGAACTGGCGATTTCCAAAAGAAGCTTGACATATCTTTGGGGCTCACACAATTTGACACATCATTATATGACATCCAAACCGCTGGTGAGGTCGATGCCGAACGAACCTCCATGACTGTGCATTGCATCCCGCCCCACGAAGCACTTGCAGCAGAGATAGCAGCCAACCCGTCCATCATACAGGATTGGGAGTCTAAGATAAATGACGAGCCCTGGATTCGAGATTATGAAAAAAACGAGTTCGTGAAACGTGCGTCCCCTGAGGAACGCAAGCGGCTTCTTCCCATCGCCTTATATATGGATAAGACGCCATATACAAAAAAGGACGGGTTTCATGGTATATTTTGTCATTTTCTACCATCTGGACGTCGCCACATGATCGCGTGCATCCGCACGACGGACATGTGCAACTGTGGATGTTCACATTGGTGTACACTGTACCCTGTGTATCAAATGATTAGATGGTCTCTTCAATCGCTGATATCGGGCACGTACCCTGACCGACGGCACGATGATCTAGAATGGAAGTCGACCGACGTCGATCGATCTTCCCTGGCTGGGCAGGCGCAGGGGGGGGCAGAGGCTTCAGCTGCAGACGTGCATGCACGCAGTGAAAGCGATCGAGAAAGAGAGAACGAGAGAGAGAGAGAGAGAGAGAGAGAGAGAGAGAGAGAGAGAGAGAGAGAGAGAGAGAGAGAGAGAGAGAGAGAGAGAGCGAGAGATATACAAATACATATATTAGAGACATGAGAGAACGAGAACTTGAGAGAGATCGTCGAGCAATTGAGAGAGATGAAGCGACATGTCCACACAGAAATAGAAGGCGAGAGGGGGAGAGCGATACATATGATGATAGAGGAAGGCCCGCTCCCTTGCTTGCTTGCCAAGGGGCTCCTCGAGCGCGTCGCGCAACGCCCGAGGGTCACTGGATGAGTTGACAGACGTTTGAGAATCATTGGGGGATCCTTGGGGGATCCTTGGGGGATCATTGAGGATCATTGGGAACTCACTTGGGGATCCGTGGGGTCCCATTGGGGAAGATGTGCAGGGGCATCCGGTTAATAGCATAGCAATTGATGGGCAACCCTCCCAAGGATACCCTTACATCCTTGCCTCCTGGGCCCATCCTTGGCCACTCTCGTTGGCCGCGCCCCACTCGGAGAGCTTCGAAATGGGCGTCCAAGGCCCTTGCATCCTTATTGCGCATCCTTGTTATGCGGGTTGACTCCCGAGAGTTCTTCAGAGGGCTGGGGAGTGAAGGATCTGCAATTCCGAGCAGTCCTCATCGATTTCAAAGCTGACTGGCCAGAGCTGAGCACTGGAATGGGGTTCCCTTCTCACAGTCCGCTCATGCGCCTTGCGTGTTTTGTTCGTGTTCTCAGGAATCAATTTTGACCCACGACCTGTCATCGCAAGTTTGCTCGGTTCCAGAGGTTGACTACGATGCAGAGTGTAAGAGGCATGAACATTATGTTGTGATCGAAGATGAGGAAGACCATAGAATGATTAAGCTTCGGCTGAAATTCCGACATGATAAAAGAGGGCGTGCACTGACCTCCCCGTTGGAAAAATTTGGACTCCTGAAGTGGGATCGATTGGAACCCAGCCCAGTACTGACGGATGTTGCGAATTTCGAAGCTCTCGATACATTCCCGATCGTGGTTAAGTTCTGGCGGCAACTCCCAGACTCCAGGACCTACCATCGCAACCCTTTGCTAGACATTCGTATTCTCGGTACAGGGATCCACACGTTCTCGTTGGACGAGTTGCATTGCTTGCACCTAGGCGTATTCAAGAATTGGGCAGGTGCAGCCGTGTGGCGCCTGATAGATGCCAACGTTTGGGGTGTTGCGGCAACTCTGCAGGACGATCGGGTTCGTCTATCCCTCCAGCACATGACCCTGGAATTGAAAACCTGGTACACGACGCAACTCAACCGAGGTGTGAAAGAAAGGAAACTAACACGAATAGGGAAAATAACAGCTGGCATGATAGGTGACAGGAACAGTCCCACTATTTCAACCAAAGCACAGGAGACAAAATGGTTTGTGTTTTTCCTCGTGGACCTCTTGGAAAAGAACAAAAACACGCTGAGGGGCATACATACATTGCATGCTGCTGGTGCTGCGTTGGTCAACTATTCAAGAATGCTGGATCAGCACGGCCGCAAACTGCCAGACGATGTGTGCGACGAGCTCCAGAATTTGGGCGAGCTCCATGTCGGCTTGGCTCAGCAAGCGGGGGTGCATATGGAGCCAACACATCATTATTTCCGCCATATGGCGGCCCAGCTGAAGAGGAAAGATAACCCGAGATTTTACAATGTTTATTGGGACGAATCGATTAATGGGGTCATAGCTGGCGTGGCGGCAACTACGCACAGAGCCCGATTCGAACGGATGGTGTTCAGGAAGTTTGGCTATATGAGCGACAGAGGAGCACCCTCTTTTGTAGGGGTGGTGATAAGGGGGGATGAGGGGCGAGGATGAGGGAGGCAAGAAGGACAGGAGGATTGAGGAGGAGGAGGAGGAGGAGGAGGTGGAGGAGGAGGAGAACGCCACCGAACCCCGAAGCAATATCAGTGACAGAGGCGGCAGGCGGCAGCCACTGATAGGTTCTCGAGTCTGCGCTGTCGCCCCCGTGGGCAGTCGCAGCTGATGCGCGCTGGAGCTCGGTGCTAACGTTGCCCCCCTCCCCCCAATTTGGCTCCGCCCTCTGGCAACTTCCCCCCCCTCCCCCTCCTACGCATTCTCCTCCGTCCTCCTCCTCCTCCTCATCAGCATCATCCTCCTGTCCGCACCCCCCTCCTCCTCCGCCTTCTCCCCCCTCCCCCTCCTCGTCCGCATTCCCCTACCCCCCCCCCCCTAACAAAAAACGAAACACATAGCACGCAAACGCAAACATCCTTCATTTATCTTGCCGCTCGGGCGAACCCGCCGAAGGAGTCAGTTCGACATCGTCTAGTCTCCCCGCGTTGGAGGCATGGTGAGAGCTGCGAAGGGGGGAGACCTCTTCCAACAAGGCTGGCGCATCAAACACCAATTTCTCCACCCAATGAAACCCCGGGGGGCTCGAATGGGCGATGGGCATTGGCTTTCTCTTCTGGGCAACCGCCCCCCCTAATACATCTCGCGTTGGATGCCGCCCGATAGGCGGCCACCTCGGCATACCGCCCGAAACGCTCGACCTGGCCGAGCGCATTCGAGCAGATGCACCGATGTTGACTTACCATGCGATGCTGCTGAAAGTTTCCGAGGTGGTAGCCGCCCGCATGGATGCTCTAGAGCGTACTTTGGACCTACTGGAGGCACTGTGGGCGCAAGGGGGGGAGCCCATATCTCCTCTCTCCTTCGCTCTCCTCCTGGCCCTCCTCCTTCTCGTCCTCCTCCCCGTCCTCCAACCCCTCCTCATCCCCCACCTCCACCTCCTGAGCTCCCCCCGCCCCCGTCCCTATATCCACCCTCCCATCCAATGGTGTGCCAATATCTCGCGTGGCCTCTCGTTCGACCCGCAGGTCTGCAGTGGGGCAGGCAACGAAGCCCTGGCGTTTCGCCAAGAGGGGTGTGCAACTCGAGAGTTCGATGTACGAACTCGGCATGCTGACGAGGACCTCTGCTAAAATAGCCACCCAAATCCCCGACTCTTCGGCGTCCACCTCGAACGCCCCGATGGCTTTTTTTTCGATCGCATTTGGCCCGATCGATTTGCAATGCACGAAGATTGGTCTTTCCAATCTGACTTGGTCACTGCCAGACTCTAGCTCGAAATGTGCCCTAGGGTGCCGCGCTGACATTGCGCACCGCATAATATATAAAGCGGTTCGCAATGCCACCACGGCGCATAACCGCGCTCGACAGACGGCGGCGACATCGATCTAGAAGCCTGCCTACAGTTCGGGTGTCCGATAGCGAGCTCGATGAGCTCGATGGCCCTCTCGATTAAGGATTGTCGTGCCGCTCATTATACCCCCCCCACTAACCCCCCCTCTGCTGGCTTCCAGAAAGGACATGACCACGCTCGAAGGCATGCTTCACCTAGGCTTCCTCACGTTGCAGATCAAGCACGGGGGCTTGATCGCTATTTCGGTGGGCCTCGCGTTTAACGCGTCTCCAGAGATCTCCAAGATGAGGGCGGAGGCAGGGAGGAGGGAGACGTGAGAAAGGAGGAGGCGCAGGAGGAGGAGGAGGCGGAGCAAGAGGAGGAGGAGGAGGAGCAGGAAAGAGCAGGCAAGAGGAGGAACCGCTCGCCCTCGCCCATCCCCTGCCCCGAGTTGGATTCGGCCACCTGGATCGGGTCCAACTCCGTCCACGTCCACGGCAGGGTCGACGGCGGCATGATCGGGTACGAGGAGCGGGTCCAGGGCGAGAGGGGGAGAGGTCGTTCCTCTGCTTACCTCCTTCTCTTCCTCCCCCTGCTCCTCCTCCACCTCTTTCTCCTCCTCCATGCCCCTTTTCCGCCGGCGTGCCATGCGCGCCGCGAACGAGACGGGAAGAGAGAAGATATTCGGGGGAAGACGAGAGAACTGGGTATGGGAGGACACGTCGGAGACCGTGAAGCTTGCGAACGTGCAGGCCCAGGTTGCGAGCTGGCTTCTTTACCTTGCACATGCGCGGTGCGTCTGGTGTGTTTTCGAAAAGCAGACGACGTCAAGGATTTCCAGTTTCCCGTGCGTGGCCGACGTGCTTGAGGCAATATGGGGATCAGGGAAACTATCCACTTGTTTTCAGCCCCCTTCCCCGCCCCCCCCCCCCCCCTCCTCCTCGGAGGAAGGGGAAGGGGGGGAGAAAGGGTGGGAGAAGATAACGGACGAGGAGGAGGGGGATGAGGAAGGGAGAGGGGGGGAGAGGGGGGGAAGGACCAGGGGGAGGAGGAGAGGGAGGGGGAGGGGGGGGAGGAGTCTCCTCCTCCCCCTCCTCATCCCCTCCGCCTCCTCCCTCCTCCTCCTCCGAGTCCTTTCCACCCCCTCCTCCTGAGGAGGGGGGGGGGGGGACAAGAGAAGGGGGGGGAGGAGGGGGGGGGGGGAGAAGGAGGAGGAGGAGCAAGGAATGCTAATCCTGCTAGACCACAGGTTATTGGAGCAGAGCAGTGCCTCACATACCTCGGGGGGTTCAGCAACAGGGGCCCTCCACGTCCTGTGCACCTGGCCACGACGCTGCCGAGAGAGCGCTGGCACTACATCTGCAAAGCTAAACACGACAACGCCGACAGCGAGCAGGATCGAACCCCCTCTGCAGGCCCTTGGTTCCCTCCCCCAGCCCTGATGCTTCGGACCCAACCGTCGCACGACGCCTTTTTCCCTATCAAAAAACTGCGACCTCTCCCCCTCCTCCCTTAGAGGGAAATCATTGGAATCTCATTGGGGTCGGTATGAAATCATTGGGGGTTCATTGAGGCGGGTTTGGCGGCGGCTCCTCCTCCTCGTTCTCCTCCTCCTCCTCCTGCTCCTGCTCCTGCTCCTGCTCCTCCTCCTCCTCCTCCTCCTCCCTGAGAGGGAAAACATTGAAATATCATTGGAGGTTGATGTGAAATCATTGGGGGTTCATTGAGGCGTGTTTGGTGGCTGCTCCTCCTCCTCGTTCTCCTCCTCCTCCTGCTCCTGCTGCTCCTCCTCCTCCTCCCTGAGGGGGCGGCGCGTTTGGCGGCGGCGGCTCTTCCTCCTCCTCCTCCTCCTCCTCCTCCTCCTCCTCCTCCTCCTCCTCCTCCTCCACCTCCTCCTCCTCCTCCTCCTCCTCCCCCCCCCCTCCTCCTCCTCCTCCTCCTCCTCCTCCTCCTCCTCCTACTCCTCCTCCCCCCCTCCTGCCCCCCCCCCCCTCTCCCTTCGACAGGACCGCAAGTCTGGGGGAGCCTCGCGGGTATGCCCCGTGGAGCACGGTACAGCCTTCCACATGGCGTGGGCGAGTGCCAATCGCATCGGCAAGGAGATGACTTCGAGCCCCAAGCCCAACACGACCCTCGATTCGTTCTTCAAGGGCTCGAGATCCCCGACGCAGTGAGTTGGGGCTTGCTCCGTTCTTCTCCTTCTGCATCCTCTCCTCCTCCTCCTTATAATCCCCTCCTCCTCCTCCTCCTCCTCCTCGTCCTCCTCCTCCTCCTCCAGCTCCTCCTCCTCCTCCTCCTCCTCCTCCTCCTCCTCCTCCTCCTCCTCCGATCTTTTGTTGTCATCCCTGCCTCTTCGCGCGTGGCCTACTAGGACGCCGACGCGCAGGAAGGCCGCTCGAGCTGGAGTGCGGGAGAAGTTCGGTCTGCCTCTTTCTTTTTCACTGCTATCCCATTCCATGTCGGCGATAAGTGTTTCGATAATATTGCACGCTCGCAATCCCATAACAATATATAAATATATGTATAGGAAACTATAGGGACATGTATGTATGTATGCATGTATGTATGTATGTATGTATGTATGTGTATAGTTATGTATGTCTGTATGTATGTGTGTATAAATATGTGTGTATGAATGCATGCATGTATGTATGCATGCATGTACGGATGCGTGTGTTTATGTAAGTATGTAGTTGTGTATATATACACATATGTGTATATATATATACATACATACATATGCACGCCATGCGCATCGTCACATCATCGTCATCTCCACCATCATCAAGGAGACGCAGCGGAATTAACAATTGCATCAACATCGTCAACATCATCACCACCGACATCAACACAACAAAACAGAGGAACGCACACGAAACAGCGGAACGCACACAAAACAGCGGAACGCAAACAAATCAGCGGAACACACGAGAATCACACCATATTTGAGGAATCCACACAAAATACAGGAAAAAAAACTATTCCGCAAAACCTTTGCGGAATCTCCCCTCTGGGTCCTTGCGCAGACCGCACGCCGATCCTGTCCTGGTTCGCGCTTTCGCGCCTCAGGAATCCCTGAAGTGTATAAGCGCTTAGGAATCCGGAGGGAATCCTAAGGGAATCCTAAAGGAACGCTAGCGAATCCGAAGGGAATCCTAAGGAAACCTAGCGAATCCGAAGGAATCCTAAGGAATCCTCAGGAATCCTACCGAATCCTCCGCGAATCCTATTGGAGTCCTAAGGGATCCTTGCGCAAACCGCACGCCGTTCCCGTCCGGGTTCGCGCTTGCGCGCCTCAGGAATCTCTGAAGTGTATAAGCGCCTAGGAATCCTGAGGGAATCCGAAGGGAATCCTCAAGGAATGCTAGCGAATCCGAAGGGAATCCTAAGGAAACCTAGCGAACCCGAAGAATCCTAAGGAATCCTCAGGAATCCTACCGAATCCTCCGCGAATCCTATGGAATCCTAAGGAATCCTTGCGCAGACCGCACGCCGTTCCCGTCCGGGTTCGCGCTTGCGCGCCTCAGGAATCCCTGAAGTGTATAAGCGCTTAGGAATCCTGAGGGAATCCGAAGGGAGTCCTCAAGGAATGCTAGCGAACCCGAAGGGAATCCTAAGGAAACCTAGCGAACCCGAAGGAATCCTAAGGAATCCTCAGGAATCCTACCGAATCCTGAACGAATCCTAATGGAATCCTAAGAAATCCTTGCGCAGACCGCACGCCGTTCCCGTCCGGGTTCGCGCTTGCGCGCCTCAGGAATCCCTGAATTGCAAAAACGCTTAGGAATCCTGAGGGAATCCTAAGGGGATCGTGAAGGAATGCTAGCGAATCCGGAAGGGAATCCTAAGGAAACCTAGCGAACCCGAAGAAATCCTAAGGAATCCTTAGGAATCCTACCGAATCCTCACGAATCCGAATGGAATCCTAAGGAATCCTTGCGCAGACCGCACGCCGTTCCCGTCCGGGTTCGCGCTTGCGCGCCTCAGGAATCCCTGAAGTGTATAAGCGCCTAGGAATCCTGAGGGAATCCGAAGGGAATCCTCAAGGAATGCTAGCGAATCCGAAGGGAATCCTAAGGAAACCTAGCGAACCCGAAGAAATCCTAAGGAATCCTCAGGAATCCTACCGAATCCTGAACGAATCCGAATGGAATCCTAAGGAATCCTTGCGCAGACCGCACGCCGTTCCCGTCCGGGTTCGCGCTTCCGCGCCTCAGGAATCCCTGAAGTGTATAAACGCCTAGGAATCCTGAGGGAATCCGAAGGGAATCCTCAAGGAATGCTAGCGAATCCGAAGGGAATCCTAAGGAAACCTAGCGAACCCGAAGAAATCCTAAGGAATCCTTAGGAATCCTACCGAATCCTCCGCGAATCCGAATGGAATCCTAGGGAATCCTTGCGCAGACCGCACGCCGTTCCCGTCCGGGTTCGCGTTTGCGCGCCTCAGGAATCCCTGAAGTGTATAAGCGCCTAGGAATCCTGAGGGAATCCGAAGGGAATCCTGAAGGAATGCTAGCGAATCCGAAGGGAATCCTAAGGAAACCAAGCGAACCCGAAGGAATCCTCAGGAATCCTACCGAATCCTCCGCGAATCTCAATGGAATCCTAAGGAATCCTTGCGCAGACCGCACGCCGTTCCCGTCCGGGTTCGCGCATGCGCGCCTCAGGAATCCCTGAAGTGTATAAGCGCCTAGGAATCCGGAGGGAATCCTGAAGGAATGCTAGCGAATCCGAAGGGAATCCTAAGAAATGCTAGCGAATCCGAGGGAATCCTAAAGAACCCGAAGGAATCCTAAGGAATCCTACCGAATCCTCATAGTAGTCATCATCAGAATTATCATAAACATCATCATCATAATGATCATCATCAACATCATCTTCACCATCGTCGTCATCATCATCACCACCATCATCGTCATGACTCGTGATCATCACCAGCATCATCACAATCATCACCAGCATCATCATCACCATCATAATCATCATCATCGCCATCATCATCGTCATCGTCATCATCGTCGTAATCAACATCATCATCATCGTCATACATCAGCATCATCATCATCGTCATCATCGTCATCATCATCATCCGCGTCATCGTCATCATACTAATCGACACCATCACCACCATCATCATCGTCATCATCGTCAACATCGTCATCAGCATCATCACTTCCTTCAACATCATCACCATCATGATGTAAGCTCCCAGTGCAACCTCAGCAGACATTTATTAAGCAACCCAAATGCAAGCAATTCAAAATAATGCAAAGCAGCCCAATGCAAAGCAATGCAATATCTTCGGAATCGAACACGGCGGGCCCGGACGGAGACGGCGTTCGCTTCCATCATGCTCGATTGTATGGACGGGGGGCAACTTAAAACCGAAAGCCGAGTGTCAAACTCTTAAGGTAAATTTATGTTCTGGGATCCAACATCGGCCACATAAACCTCTAAAACAGATACTTCAGTGCCAAAGAAAAACAAAGACAACGACACATCTTCAGGACAGCGGTTCACTACTACACGGCCCGGACGGGCACGGCGTTACCTACTACTACTACTACTACTACTACTACTACTACTACTACTACTACTACTACTTCTACTACTTCTGCTACTGCTACTGCTACCATTACTCTGACGACGAGCGCTACTACGACTACACTCGATGGGGAGGGCACGGATCTGTATTACAAGCCTTGTACGAACAGGGACGGAATTCCTTCAGCGTCTAGGGTAGCCCAGAGGCGTCAAGAGAAATAACCGCCCAAGAAACTCCAGCCTGGGAAACAATAGTGGGCAAATAATTTGACCGTCGACCCCCGCACCTGATTGTTAAGCCAGAGCTTTGGGGGTTGTGGGCTGCAGCATTAAAAACGTGCTGCAGCTCTCAGAGCGGTCTCGGAGCCGGGTCTCAGAGATCCCCGATTATTTTTGGTCCGATGCTGTTTTGGTTTAAGTTTCTTGAAAAAGGCTTTCGGGTGCAACCCTTTTCTCAATTGCGCCGTGCCTCCCTAGCCGTGTCAAGATGTCTCTTAACTCGACCTTCGGTGCGCGTCGGCATCCGAGTTTTGACGCTGAGTTGTGATGCACGTTGTCCGTTCCCATCTTGTCCTTCCAGGCCAAAGAACATGCCTTGGTCCTAGCTTCGTGTTGGTCTGGTGGCCAACGCGTCGGAAAAGCTGGGGCGTGGATGCCCTTGCGCCGCTCTTCCCCCCTTGCTCCCGCGGCAGGGTCCCTTTGCGCAGGCGCCTCCACGCCCGCCCCCCGCCGCCGCGCCAGGACGAGACGGGCAAGATCTCGTTCCGGAACCTCAAGCGCATAGCCCAGGAGCTCGGGGAGAGCCTCACCGACGAGGACCGGCCCGTGGCATCCCCGGCTTTGCTCAGTGCGATCGATCGTCGGTGGCGGCCAAGGGGGGGGGGGATGACTAGGGGTGTGTTGATATCATGGCGGGGGCCATGATCTCTCGAAGAACCCCCCCGTCTTGCTTCAAGACCTGGCTCCCCTTGCGCCACGCACATGCAACGGGCCATGATTTGCGCCCCCCCCTCTTGGACGCCCCCCTCTTTGGACGCATCCGAAATTGGCATTGGTTCGGAAAGAGTGGCCACGAAGACCGAAGCCCGGCAGCAGTCCCTGTTCATTTTGAGCAGTGCTCGTTGTCCGCGTCGCCGCGGGCGTGGCCCATACGGGACGGGAGGTCACCTGCCCAACAGCGGCCTATGTCGGTTTTTGGACAACGTTCGTTGTTGAGCATCGTGCCAATTTTGTCGTGTCCATTCCGGGCGTGCCAACACTGGACCCCCCGCGATGTCTGAATGCGAAGCGACGATGCGAACGGTTTGCGCGTTCCTCCCCCCTAAAGCCGCGGCCCCAAGGTCGTTCTTGCCTGGGGTGCGTGTCGTGTAAACGATGAGAGAGCTGCGTGCTCTTGTGTGTCGGACTCGGCTTCAAAAAGCGCACAGCTTTCTGAAGCCCCGAGATCGACTTCAGAGAGCTTGCAGTTCCCTCGGGTTCGAGGTTTTGGACAACGCTCACTGCTGCGCATCGCATCGCACTCATGGTTCCCTCGGGCTCGAGGTTTTGGACAGCGCTCACTGGTGGGCATCGTATTCGCGCTCGTGCCATACGCCAGAACGTGTGGGCGAAAGACGGCATTGCCAGCCTGATATCACCGCTCTGCGGGGAAGGTGGCACACCAGCTCTACATCGTGCGTGGCAGGAGGAGGAGACGGAGGAGAAGGAGGAGCCGAGAAGAAACCAGCCACACATCCGTAGCCATTTTGGCTCAAGCCAGCTTGGGGCTCAAGGTCATACTGCACCTGTAGCCTATTTTCGTCGCCGTCACCGCGAAGGCATCAGGTTACCCCCAAGATGACGCTGGCAAAGAGCGGGCGTCTTAGGCTGATGTGCCGCAAGACGGAGCTCTGCCGCTTCTTCCAGAAGGGCGCGTGCAAGCGCGGATCGGCGTGCGATTTCGCCCACGAGGAGCACGACTTGCGGGAAAAGCCAAACCTCCAACGTACGAAGCCGTGCCCCACGGTGGCTGAAGGCCTGAGCTGCGAGGATCCGAACTGCCCCTTTGCCCACTACGCCGGTGAGGCCCGCAAGTTCAAACCGCACCTGCCCGTTGTGGATCAAGACGTCTCTGTGAAGACGAAGAAGAGATCAGGCCGAGTCTTCCAGGAGGGGAACTACCTCAGCAACTGCAGCACGGCCGCCTCGCTCAGCGGCGGGCAGGCAACCTCCGACGCGAGCAGCGACTGTACGGTCGGCCTCAACTGTGACCTCGACGGAGGCAAGGGCAGCCTCACGCTGGGCTTCGACAACTTCAAAGCAGAAGCCGGCTGGAGCCGCCAGACCACCAAGTGCTCCGACAGCAGCTTCGGCCGCCAGATCTCCGACAGCGGCTTCGACCGCCATCTGTCCATGTGCTCGGAAGGCGAGCAGCGCCCAGAGCAGCTCAAGTGCCACAAGAAGTACAAGACGCGCATGTGCTCTTTCTACCTGATGGGGAAATGCCGGAAGGACGACTGCACCTTCGCCCACGGCCACCACGAGCTGAACACACCCGCTGGGAGCAAGGAGTCCTCGCGCGCCGGCAGCAAGGAGAGCTCGCGCGCAGGCAGCAAGGAGACCTCGCGCGCCGGTAGCAAGGAGTCCTGCTGCGGCGGCCCGGGGAGCCGCCGCCCCGAGCAGGCGCTGGCCGCGCCGCCGCAATTCTGGCCGCCGCCGCCCACGGGGAGCACTTCCGAGGGCGCCTCGTCGGAGCACGAGCCGGGCAGTCCGGGGCAGCAGCCGCCCTCCGAGGGCGACGCGTGGGCGCCGTCCGCGGCCGAGCTCGAGGCCGAGCAGGAGGCGGAGTGCCAGCTGATCGTGCAGAACACGTTCTTCACACTCGTGGTGAGCAGCACTCCGAAGGAATTCCAGCGCTCGTCGTCCACTCCTCCTGGGAAGTGACGCGCCGCGGCGGCTACCCCATGGCGGGCAAATCTTGGCACCGCTGCCACATTTTCAGCTTGCAGAAGCTCGTCGTGCATGCTCGTGCGTGCTAATCTCGTCATGAGGAGGAGGGCGATGAAGAGGGGGATGGGCCACATAGTCAGGAGGTGGGGTGGGTGGAAGCGGCAGAACCCCGTAGCCTTGCCACCGGAAGTGGCCTGAGGAGGACGGCCACGGGGAGGCAGATCACCGTTGGGTGAATTTAGGTTCTGCCTCCAAGCAGCGATGTGTGCTGGTGACGGTGCGTCGCCGGTCTGCTTCTCCGCGAGATGTTCCATAATCGCGTACCTCAGCGCCCCAACTGAATGCAGGCGCGAATGGCTGCTCGTCATCTGCGTCTTTCTGCGGGTCGGCCCTTTATTGGGCCAGCCCGTCTGCGTGTGCATGGGCTCAGCGATCGGAACAGCGCCGTTGCCGCACTGCACTTGCACTCTTTGCCTTCAGTTCCCCACTGTTTCAACCGCGCCAGTGCTTGGAAATTTAGCCAGCCGGCAACTTGCATAGCTAGATGGATGGCGTTGATCTGAGGACGCCTTCAGTCTGCACGACCCGGGCAGGGGCGGCTCATCCCCGTCCTTTCGTTTCACCCGATCATGGCCCGCACAGCCAGCAGCCAGTCGCCGAAGGGCCGCAAGCCCTCGGACGGTCAGCGGGCCTGGGAGCTGGGACGGGGCTGCGTTGGGGCCGTCAGGAAGGGGAGGGGTTGGGGTGGATCGCCCCAAAGAGGGTACCCCCGAGCCCCGATCCTCGAGGAGGGAGCGAAATGAGGCACTGCAGTATCGCGCAGCCTCTGTGCACGTGCAGGTGACCGCCGCGCGGAGGCTCTCGAGCCCCAGCTGCCGGCAAGCCTCCTGGCCGGGCACGTCGCCGAGGCACGGCCTCCCTCGTGTCCGCCGGCTCCTGACCGCGTGAGAGCAGAGGCCTGCTCCCACTCTGCGCGGACCTCTCATCGTCCAGCGGCTCGGGCACCGGGCCTGGCCGGGGGCGAGACCACTCTGAGGGCTTCTCTCGGTGCCTGAGCGCTTGTGGGGGATGGCGCAGCAGCGGCTGGGTTCCTCGGCGCCTCGGGAGCGGATGTGCGCTGTGGAGCCAGGGGGTTGCATGCACACAGGCACCGGCGAGAAGTCCGACCGATCGCCAGCATCTTCGGGATGTTGGGGTTGGCTTTCGGAGTGAGCGGCCAGCTTCTGCCAGATATGGAGGAGGGCTGGAGGGTTGTTGTGGAGTGAGGAGGAGGAGGAGGAGGAGGAGGAGGAGGAGGAGGAGGAGGAGGAGGAGGAGGAGGAGGACCGACTGCGCGAATGCTCGCGCCTTCGCGCGTGAGCCGACCGCGGCAGGGCGGGCGTGAGCACCGTGGTCTTCACGCAACGTGCTCCCCCCGCCCTCAGCGACCTCCGCTGGCTGTCGCGTGCGGTCGCCGCGCCGTCGAGCGTACCTGGACCTCCGACGCCTGATTGCTTCTCACGACGCGGGCCCTAGAACTGTGGAGGACGACCAACGGAGAGGAAGCCTGTTGCCAATTCATTGCCAGGTGTCTTAATCAGCATACTCCTACCGCTACCACCTGAACCTCTCCCGAGGTGCGTTCTCACCAGGAGTCCGAGGCGCATCCAGCCGCCGCGACGAGGCCCTCCAGCAGTCCGAATGTAAGGACGTCGTCACGGGCATCTGCTTTTCTCTCCGAGCTTTCGTGTCTGAGGTGGCCGGGGCAAGCCGAGCGACCGCGGGCGCGGTGGCGAAGGCTCCCTGCGCCGACGTGCCTCCTTACAACCGTAATAGTACAATTTTTGCGCTCCGCGGCGTCCGCGCTGGATGCATGGCCAAGGAGCCGGCCCAGGTGCGGCGCCGCGCGCCGGGGAGCCAAGTCGCGATTCCGGCGTGGCAGCCTCTGCCTCTGGCCGCCACCTGCGGCCCCGCTCCACGGGCAGAGGGCATGGCCGCCGCACGACGGGCCGCAGAGGAGGTGACGGCTGGGGGAGGTTGGAGGGGGGGGTGGAGGGGAGGAGGAGGGGTTGGGGGAGGAGGAGGAGGGGGAGGAGTGGAAGGAGGCTGCGCGGGCAGGTCGTGGAGCGTCCTCGCGACTGCAGTTGCTGAGTGCTGATATGCCCAGCCTCGACGAGGCTATTCGAGTGGCGGCAGGCGCGGTGGGTGAGCATGATGCCCCCGGCGCAAGGCGCCGGCGCCCCAGGGCTTGGCGTTTGGTTACCCGCTCCAGGCTCGGTCTGCCTGCTTACAGATTCGGTCGACCCTGCCAGGGCTGCACATCTCTTTCTTACCAAGCCCCGACGTCCGCTGATACCATTTTTTAGGTCGGCGAGAACAAAAAAAAAAAAAAAACATTCTAACTAGGAAGCGGGATCCCGTTTTTGATCCCCTTCCCGTCTCCGGCGTCCCGATCCCGTGGCCCGCACCCAGCGACGAGGCGCCTCCTGGCCGCCACCCGCTCGGGTGGCACCTGCAGCCCCTGAGCGCTGCCGGGCCCGACCAGAGTGCAGCGGCATGCTTTTGGCTCTGCCTCTTTCCTCGGAGCCTCTCGTTCCCAATTTGTCTCTCTCGCGCTCTCCACCACAACACTGTCGCAGACGCCTGCGCTGGGGAAACGTAAGACTCCGAAGCTCGGGTTTGCCGACGCTGCTTGACGGGCCCGTCCTAAATTTTGACGGTCCGGCTTTCGTGGGATGTGTGCAGCGGGAGCTCGCGTACATTGCAAATGAGGTCTCGTCATTTGCCTGACGGCCCCGTCAGGCCAACTCGAGTCTCCCGAACCCGTGTCTTACGTCTCCCCGACCTGTGCCTCTCCCGAGCTCTCCACCACAATATTGTCGGCGGCGAACCACCCCTGCCCACTGCCCTTTTGGAAACGCTTCTGTGGTCAAACGTTGGGCCCGAACCTTGCCAAGCTGTTGGGCCGTGTTTCCCCCCAGCCGTTGCGGAAACCCGTGGGGAAAACATTGGGGGAGGAAGAGAGAAGGAGAGAGGGAGAGAGAGAGAGAGAGGATACGGAGGCGGACAAGGAAGAGGAGGCCTCTTGGGAAGAGGAGGCCTCTTGAGGACCTCTTGGGGTCTCCTGGGGACTTCCCGGGGCCCTCTTTTGTAGCCTCTGAGGGCCTCATGGGAGATCTTGGGGACCTCTTGGGGGCCTCTGTGGACCTCTTGGAATCTTCTTGGCCTTCGGGCGCAGTCTTGGGGGCCGCACTGGGCCGTCTTGGGGCCCTCGTGTGATATTGTAGTGGCCTTCGGCCAGTGCCGCCGATCCGGGTCGCTCGGGGTTATTCTCCAGACGCAGAAATTATGGGCGCACACTCAAACGCACACACACAGTCACACCACTTAACCTGCGCCGCAGACATGCGCACACAGCATCACCCACACACACATACTAGTTGGGAAACGCACCTGTAGTACTAGTAGTAGTATTAGTAGTAGTAGTAGTAGTAGTAGTAGTAGCAGTAGTAGTAGTAGTAGTAGTGGTAGTAGTAGTAGTAGTAGTAGTAGTGGTGTGGTAGTAGTGGTAGTAGTAGTAGAGGCCTCGTTCCGCGGCTTCTCTCGACTTCCCGCGGTCTCTCTCAAGTTTCGAGCACGCGGTGAGTTTCACGATATATGTGTGTGTATGTACGCGTGCATGCATGTATGCATGCATTGATCATGTGTGCCTGTGTGTAGGTACGTATGTATGTATGTATGCTTGTGCGCGTATGTATGTATTTAGTTTGTATGTATGTTTGTATGTGTGTATGATAATATGTGTGTATGTGTGTGAATGTAAGTATGTATGTCTGGAAGATTGTTTTTCTATGTATGCAAATGTGTTTAAATGTAGGTATGTATGCATGTGTGTATGGATGTGCGTTTGAAGAGCGAGGATGTTTCAAAGAAGAGGCACTCGGTGACGCGATCGTTGAGGGATAGGAGTGAGGTCGCAGAGGAGGAGGAGGAGAATGAGGAAGAGGCGATAACTTGAAGGAAAACGATGAGACGGAGGACATCCTGCCGGTGGCGCCCTGGGCGGTGCCGCGGAAGAAACCGGGGGCCTGCCGGAGGCAGTCTGGAGGCCTCTGGGGAGCTGTTTTGGGGCCTCTTGGAACCTCTTTTGGGCCTCTTGTGGGCTTCTTGGGGCCCCTTGGGGGTCTCTTGGGGCCTCCTGGGGGCCTCTTGGGGCGGAAAGCTCGGTTCTTTCGGTTCGTGGTCCCCCTCTTGGGCCCCTCTTGGGGCTCTCTTGGGGCCTTCTTGGGCTGTCCAGAGGCCCTCTTGGGCCGTCTTGGGGCCCTCTTGGGCCGTCTTGGGGCTCTCTTGGGCCGTGTTGGAAGCATCGTGGGCCGTCTTGGGACGGACTTGGGGGCCTCTTGGGCCGTCTTCGAGCGTCGGACGCCCGAAAAGGCAAGAACGCTAAAAACCCTGAGAAAACCAATGAAAATCAACGATTCTGGCCTCTTGGGGCCCTCTTGGGAGGCCTCTTGGAAGCTTCTTGGGGCGTCTTGGAGACACCTTGGGCCGTCTGGAGGCCATCTCGGGCGTCTTGGAGCGATTTTTCGGCGACTCGGGGCCCTCTTGGAACCCCTTGGGGGTCTCTTGGGCCCCCCCCCTCCTCCAAAGCGCCGGAAAAAGCGGAGCATGGCGCCCCCCCCCCCCCTCTATCTTCCACTCCCCCGGAGCGGCCCCGGGGTTCGCCGGAAACTCGCACCCCCCCCCCCCCCCCCCACCCCCCCTTCCCCGGCAGAGCCACCCCGGCGACCCCCCCAGAGGCTGAAGCTCAGCCTCGAGGCTGTAGCTGAGACTCCTTGAAACTCACACGCCGGATCGGCGGATTTGAGGGCCGTCCGGGAGGTCTCTGAGGCCGCCTTGAGGGCCTCCTGGGCCTCAGAGGCACTCTTGGGCGAGCCTCGGGGGGTTCTCGATATTGCGAACAAAAAACTGAAAATACTAAAATTTGGAGAAAGTCTCCTGTGGCTGAGGCGCGGCCGGACCAAATGATTCTCCACCGGGCGGCCGGTGGCCCGCGGTGTCCCGCCGGTGTCCCGCGAAAGTCCCGTGTGGCTGAGGCGCGGCCGGACCAAATGATTCCCTTCCGGGCGGCCGGTGGCCCGCGGTGTCCCGCCGGTGTCCCGCGAAAGTCCCGCGGTGTCCCGCGGTGCCCCGCGGTGTCCCGCCGGTGTCCCGCGGTGTCCCGCGATGATGATGATGATGATGATGATGATGATGATGATGATGATGATGATGATGAGATGATGAGATGATGAGATGATGATGATGATGATGATGATGATGATGATGATGATGATGATGGTGATGGTGATGGTGATGCTGAAGATGATGATGCTGCTGCTGATGATGATGATGACGTCGATGATGATGATGATGATGGTGATGCTGCTGATGATGATGAGGACGATGATGATGATGATATGATGATGGTGTCCCGATGATGATGATGATGATGATGATGATGATGATGATAATGATGACGATGATGATGCTGTTGGTGTCCCGATGATGAGGATGATGATGATCATGATGATTATGTTGATGATCATGATGATGACGATGATGTTGTCCCGATGGTGATGAGTATGATGATGTTGATGTTGATGATGCTGATTATGATTGTGTCCCGATGATGATGTTGATGATGATGAGGTTGATGATGATTTTGGCGTCCCGATGATGATGATGATGATGATGATGATTATTCTGATGGTGATTGTGATGATGTTGATGATGATGGCGTCCCGATGGTGATGATGATGTTGATGCTGATGTTGTTAATGATGATGATGGTGCCCCGATGATGACGACGATGATGATGATGTTGATGATGATGTTGATGATGCTGATGATGATGATGTCGATGATGAGGATGAGATGATGATGGTGTTCCGATGATGATGATGATGATGATGATGATGATGTTAACGATGGTGATCATGATGGTGTCCCGAGGATGATGCTGCTGATGATGATGATGATGATGGCGATGACTGTGTCCCGATGCTGCTGATGGTGATGATGATGATGATGTTGATGATGATGATTGTGATGATGGTGATGATGATGGTGGTGTCCCGATGATGTTGATGACCGTGATGATGATGATGTTGGTGTTGTTGATGAGGACGGTGTCCCGATTATGATGATGTTGGTGATGATGATGTTGATGTTGATGTTGTTGTTGTTGATGATGATGATGACGTTGATTGTGAGAGCGGTTGTGATATCGATAGTGAAATCGATAGTGAGACCGAATGTGATATCGATTGTGAGATCGATTGTGAGATCGATTGTCAAATCAATTGTGAGATAGATCGAGTGAGATCGATTGTGAGATCGATCGAGGGAGATCGATCGAGCGATACCGATACTGAGATCGATAGTGAGATCGATAGTGAACCTCCTTATTAACCTCCTTATTACCCGAAGGGTGGTCGTATAGGTAAGATAAATAATTAAACACTTGTTTGCACAAAAGATCAGAACGTCGAAATACCACAAAAATCCTCTTCGGGCTGTCTGGGATGCCGTGAAGAGAAAAGCCGAGCACGTGGGGCATGCGAGGTGAGAAAACGAAGCCTGAGGTTCCTCAACTGTCTCGGCCTCTCGGGCCAGCCCCCGGGGCTTCCAAGCCGACCCAAGATGCACCCAAGCGAGCCGCACGGCGGACCTTTGAGAGGCTACGGAGAGCTCCTAGTCCAGAGAAGCTGTGGACTCGACTGGCGTCGCGGATTAGGTTTTCTGCTGTGTGTGTGTATGGCTGGGGGGCCAGGTGGACAACGACGACGAGGACGAGGGCGACGATCACAAGGGTGAGGAGGAAGACGATGACGAGGGGGCGGAGGGCCAGCACCCCCATCCGTCCGATCGGCCCAAACCAGTTGCAAGGGCGGAAGGGAGAAACACATCGGAGTCACATTGGAGCCATCTTGCGGCAATTAGGGTTCACGGGATCATCTTGGGGCAATCTCGAGGTCGTCTCGGAGTCGGCGTTCGTATGTCACGGACTACTCCTTGGAGGCGGCGTCATGGTATGGCAGCATTGTTCGTGGTGTCGTTGTTTGTTGTTTGGTTTGGTGTCGCTGTTGTAGTGTTGTTGTTGCTGCTGTTGTTGGTGGTGGTGGTGTTGTTGTTGGTGTTATTAGTGTTGGTGTTGCTGTTGCTGTTGCTGTTGCTGTTGTTGTCTGCTTTTGGTGTTGTTAGTGTTGCTGTTTCTGTCGTGCGGATCATGGGATGTGCTCACATTGCTGGTGGCTTTCGTTGTTAATCTGACCCTGCACGCCACAGGATTTGTTCACCAGGCATGGCCGCGAGGAGGTGTTTTTATATAGAAACCGGTTGTAGCTGGCATTATGTATGTTGTTGTTGATTGTTGATGTCGTTGTTGCCGTTGCTTTTAACGCGGGTTGTCTTGGCGATATCGCTATCATGTTTGTTTATGTTTTTCTTGCAAAAAATAAGTTTCTAGCATGGTTTCGTGCCGTCGTTGGTCGATTTCTCGCTTCTAGAGAATAAAGAATGTTTATCCCCCCCTCCAGTGCATCTTCTGTGTCTTTCAATTAAAGTGCACCTTGTTTTTTTACAGAAGCAATTATTCCTCCTCAGATTGCGCCCCTTGCCCCCAACGTGCAACAACAGCGGCTCCCTCCTGATGCTTCCTCACAAGGTATTTCCGGTGCGCGCTCTCGCGCAGAAATGTCCCTACACAGCTGATGCCCGAACCCCCGACACAAGCCGAACCCGAAGCCTGTCTGACCAAGCCCTCCAAGGCGCTTCGTGGGAGGCTCTCTGGTGATGCTGGCGTCGGTCTGGGCGGGGCTGGCCTCCCAGAGGGGCCGCGCTCTGGACACGCCCGGCCGGCGCCGTCGAGGAACTCTGGCACACTGGTGGTCGGGGGCATCTCACAAGGGCCATCCCGAACCTTGTATTAACACACGCGCACACCTCTGGAGCCGGCGGCCAGGCAGAGGGACTGCGCTGGCGGGAGGGGGCAAGAGCTGGACGGACAGACGCGAATTCAGCCGCCGTGCACGAGGGAAGGAGGAGGAACGCCCGGCGACGGCGGGAGGGAGGAGGAGGCCGGGCCCGCTCACAGCGGGGCCAGGCGGCGGCGGGTGTATATACACACACACACACATACCTGCGCTAGCGTTGGTTAGGGCACAGCACAACATACGGAAGGCACCGTGGCGGATAAGCGCTTGCGCCCAGGCTCCGACACTGCTGCTCTAGGCTTCGGTGCCCAAATGTTTAGGTTCTCAGTGCTTCGAGGGCCGCAGGGCAACAAAGGAAGCCAGGCTCATCCACGACAGTCATCAAGTTCGCCACCATGTGACATGCCCTCAGCGCGTCCATGCCTCAATCATTGCCCTCCGCCTTCCTCTACTCCCCGTCCTCCCTTCCTTCCTTTAGCGGACGTGGAAGACAAAGGTGGGGAACGCCGACCCCAGAGCCCCAGGGCGTCTGGAGAGTTTGTCATACAGTTCTGCGTCTGCTAGCTCTTTCGCCTGCACCGGCTTTGAGTTGGGTCGGGCACGGCCTTATAGAGTTGACGGAGTCGAGCGAATTAGGGGAGTAGCTTAACCCATGACGTGGCCATGCTGGGTCACGCGCGCGAAGAGTTAGCTCGGAGGGCGCGCCTGGAAGGTTCCCCCCCTTCCCCCACTCGCGGTCGTGCTCTGCTGGCTTCTCCTCTCTGTCGAAGAAAATCGGCATAAACATGAACTCTTGGCGCTCCGCGCGGATGTCTTGGATTTGTACTGGAGCGCCCTGGTGGCGCCTCCGGCACCGCCCCTGGCGCGCTCAGCGCACTAGGGAGTGTGGTCCAGCGCAGATCCAAAAAATCCGCGCGGAGCGCCCAGAGTTTATGTTCATGCCGATGTTTCTTCTTCTACTCTTGCCCCCTTCCTCTCCGTTCACTCCCCTCCTCCCGCCCCCTCCTCCTCACATGACTGTCCCTCTTTGCGATGCGCCCCGTACACTCAGCTCCAGAGGACGTGGCCCGAAAGCGATCTCTCCGAGCGAGGTTTCCGTGCTTCGGTTCAGCAGGCGGTGGATATTGCGTGTGTGACGGCTGTCTTCTTCAGCATGGAGATAATCGCTCCAGGATTTGGAGCAAACATGCCTCGAATCTTTTTCACCTTTTTCAACTTGCAAGGGCTCTCCTCGAGCTCCGGGGCCGTCAGAAGACGACTCTGGCTGGAAAGGTGGTCCTGGGGAGCGCCCCATGGCCCAGGACCCGTTTCCACCAGGAACCATTTCCCTCATTCCAGTTCGCGCACGCTTCCCAGCAGTACAGGAAATGCAGGAGATGATCGAGGAGGCTGACCGCGATGGCGATGGGCTGATCAGCCCAGATGAGTTCTACAAGGTCATGCGCAAACGGGGAGGCGCTCCTCTTCTTTCGCGCAGCCGGTGCGCGTAACTAGTATGCGATGTGTCTCCGTGTCGAGCATGCTATGCACACGATCTTTCTGCACGTGCATTTCTCCTGGCTGGCTATGGCAGCGTATCTTGGTGCCCATCTTGCTCGCCTCTGGTCCTTGCACCCGTCGAGCCGCCTACCACGCCTGCACGACAGTGTCTAAGGAAGTCGCGGCCACAGTGGCGAACAAGTGTCCACGGTTTCGCCACGCACGGCAAAGTTGTAGCGCTGCGAAGACAAGAAAGCAGCTTCCCAGCACAACGATGTGAGAACGCAGGAATCGCCGTGGCCAAAGTTTCTTACAATCCTCGTGCGTCATGTCTGCGGCCACTCGGACTTGTCAGCGGAGAACGAGCACACATCACGGGGGCTCATCACTTACTGCTCTTTCATGGGAGGTATGGCGGAGCAGTTTCCGATCCCTTCCTCAGCCAACAGACGTATGAACCCGCGGGAGCCCAGCATACCTTGCGAGAAGCTGCTGGCAACATCTTAAAATGCCAAAAACGTCCAGGGGGATGGGAGAACATCTCGCCACGATTGCGCATGAGCAGAAGTGTGCTTCTGTTGTCAGTTGTAGTACGATGCCATGCCCGGCGTTTCCTCTGCTTCCGGCAACCCTCTGCTGTGTCTCTCCCCTGCCGGGAGGCAACCCGCTGGACGACTGGGACAGCGACGACGATTGAGGGCCATGAGCAAGCTTGTGTCTCCCCGTCTCCAGTTGGCCATACAGTACCGTCGGCGCTGTGCTTCCCTGCGTTGTGTTCCCAAACTGCACATGAATGCGGAATATCTCTCTCTCTTTCTCTCTGTGTCTCTCATTTCTCTTTCCCTCTTTCTCTCTCGCTCGCTCTCTCTCTCTCTCTCTGTCTCGCTTTCCCTCTCCTCTCTCTATCTCTCTCCCCCTCGTTTCACTCTCTCTCTATCGCTTTCGCTCCCTCTCTCTCTCTATCATTTCTCTCTCTCTCTCTCTCTCTCTCCCTCTCTCCGTCTCTCTCTCTCTCTCTCATTTGGATCCGTTCACTTTGTTCGCGGTACCAGGGCTCTGTATTGGAGCGGTGATCATGGCCCACACCTGCTCCATTGGGCTCCCGAGGGCTCCCCCCGAGGGCTCCCTGGAGAGGTCGCACCGCACGACAGGCGTGTGACTGCTACAAGTGGCACAGCTATCAAAGTGACGCGGCCATTTGTTTTGCATATATGCATATATGCATACCTCTCTCTTTCTCTCTTTCGTCGTTTCTCCTCTCCTCTCTCTCTCTCTCGCTCTCTCTCCCCACTGTTCCCTTTTGCTACTTTAAGCAAATTGCGCTTGAATATATCATGTTCCATTAGTCCAGAAAGCACGTAGTTAGCGAAGGAGCGGACGAAATTAGTGTCGCAGATTTTCAAAATGGCTGAGTGGGTTCAGTGGGATTTGGATATGCCCAGATGTTTTGTTTTATTGAGGTGAATCAGAGGGTCCTCAAGTCAGGATGGGGGGACAGTGTGAGGGGGAGTGGGAGGGATGGCGATGATGAGGGCGAGTGGGAGGGAGGGAGGAGAAGGGGACGGTCGAAATTCAGGTGGGCTCGCCCTCAGTATCAGCACGTATTGTTCTATGTGTTGGATTGTGTTTTCGTGGGGACGGCCCTCCCACAGTCAGATTCATCCAGCAAGACAATATCGAGCCTTCCTCGACGCAGGTGTTTTCATCACGCAGCGCGGAGTGCTGATTGGGACAGCATTGAAAAAAAGGCCACGCGAAATGACGAACGCGGAGCAGATGCAGTCCCAGCCCTGTGTGCACGAGTGAGGTGCGCACGTCCGTGGGAAATCGAGCGCCGCAGTCAAATTTGAGGGCCTCGGTCAGATAAGCTCGCAAGAAGTCTTGAGCAACCCCCATGCAGTCGGCACTGAAAGCAGCCCGCCAGGAAAGCGGCAACGCTGAGGTGCACTGGGTGCTTCCAGTATGTGGGCATACCGCCAAGCGAATTGCTGGTGACCGCTTGCCATGCGCGCTTGGGTGGACAGCGATGCATGAAGCCATCCTGGTCTCAATGAGTAGAATGGCAGCGCTGTGGGGAAAAAGGCGGTTTCCAATGTTATCGTTGTGTGCTCTGGCTCTGGCAGAGGTTGCCTGGAATTTGGAAGCGTAATTCGGGCACCTGCATGGTCAGGCTGGATTATGTATGCTCGTCGTCCCCTCTTCGTCTTCCTCATCATCCCTCTTGCCCTTCTCTTTCCTCTCACCCCTTGCACTGCGCTCGCCAAGCTACCGAAAATTACTTGAAGCGCCCTCGTGTTGCCTACGTTCGCGGATTTGTTAACATTGTGTCAACAGCAGAGATTCGGACAAGCATCTTCCATTCAGCCCCTCTCCCGGCTCACACCTTTCCTGCTTCGCCGGTGGGTGATGCGTGGATCACCGAGCGCGCGCCACCACTCGCAGAGTGCCTGCCCGCAAGCGTCAGAGAAAAAATTGCTTCCCCTTTGTGCAGTGTGCGTCGCAAGTCTCCCGCGGGACATCCAGGCCACCTGCGAGCAGTAACTACTTTGCGAGTAGTGGCAGGCGCTCGCCGCTTCTCTCCGCTTCTCGGCCGCTCGCGGCTCCTGCAGTGGAGGCCCCTTGCCAAGAGAAACGCCCTGCCTGCCTCCAGGGTGCCCTGGGCTTCTTGGGCCTCGATGGTCGTGCCGTGCAGAGCGTGACGCCTCCGCGCGAGAAAAGTCCAGGGACGTCCTCGGGTCTCGGGGTCGGGCTTCTTGTGGAGGGCTTCACGTGGTCGGGCCTCCTGTAATCCCCCCTGCGGGTCCAATCGAGGCTGGGGCATCGGACGCCCCCCGCTGGGGTTCGCCTGGCTGCGGACGTCTGCCGACTTCTGAGCCCCGGCCCCGCGTTGCGGAAGAGCTGCCCGAGGTCCGGACCCCTCCCGTTGGCACCGACCCCTTCCTCCCGGAGGCGTCCCTGGGGCGGCGCAGGGGCCCGGCGAGGGCGCCCCCCCAGAGGTCGAGAGCGGCCAGAAGCCGCCCGCACGGCGGCCTCTTCACGACGCGAGGGTGCCGGGGCCGTGCCCCCATCAGCGCTGCACTGGAGGGCGCCCTCAGGAGGAGGAGGAGGAGGAGGAGGAGGAGGAGGAGGAGGAGGAGGAGGAGGAGGAGGAGGAGGGAGGAGGAGGAGGAAGGAGGGGGAAGGAGGGGGAGGGGGAGGGAGAGGGGGAGGGGGAAGAGCCCTCAGGCCGCCGCAGACGACCCCGCGCGACAGCGAGTGCGCCTCGCCACCGCGCGCTCCACCCACTGCCCAGGCACGGCCTCTTCGGGCCCCGGCTGGGCGAGCTGGCAGACGCGGCGTCCCCGACCCTGGGTGGGGGGGGGCGTGGGCGGCCTAGAGAGGCGCACTGACGGGCAACGTCAGATGGGGACGTAGGCCAGGGAAAGACATCGGTGTCGCTGCCTTCCCCTCGTCGCCACTGCTGTGCTCGCTTCGAGATCCTGGTGAGAGCGCACCCCTGGAGAGGTCTTGGGGAGTAGCGGTATGGATATCTTTTCGTTTCCCAGGGGGCAGGCCCGGGAGGGGATGCATCGACCCCCAATCGCCCACGGAGACATTAGGGGCAGCGTTAGGGGGGACCATCAGGGCAACGGGTTAGAAATCAGGCTTTCGGTCGGCTCTCGGCGTCTCTCCAGCCTCGGGGTGCTCTCCAGCAGCTGCGCCTCGCCAAGAGCGCTCCGGGGATGCCCGCAGCGTCCCGAACGGCCGCCGGAGAGCCGAGCTTTGGGCCTGAACACCGGGAGCTCAGGGGCGGGGCGCATCAACCCCCATTCGCCCGCTGATGGCCGACAGAGGCCCGGCAGCCCACCCCGCCCAGAAACGTGCGTCCTGCGCTGTCGGGGGCCCATCGCCGACCTATCGGCGATGCACATCGCCGATTCCAGCTCGATGTTCCCCCCCCTGAGCCAGCCCCCCACGATCGTCCCCCCCCACGCCAGGCACAACGGGCGGGCTCCGAGCACGGCTGGCCAGAGGTCTTCGGTCTGGCCCGCACTCCTCTGCTCGTCGGTGGGGACAGCCCCAGCGGAACGTGCAGCCAGCTCAGGCGACCGCAAACATGGATGAAGGGGGCGTGGATTAGCGACGGGCCCCGCTGTCCTGGGCAGCCGCGCATTTCCGCCGCCGAGCGAGGCGGCCACCGGCCGCACTTCGGGGAGGGCACCTCCCCGGCTCCATGGATCTGGCGACCGCGCGCCACATCCATGGATCGCTGATCCATGTTTGCGCGCCCCCGACCAGTGCAACCGGCGGAAAGTCCCCTTTCCTTGCATGACGCTCTTCTGTCCGGGGCCCGGCCGTGCTGCATACCGGACACCCTCGCAGATGCTCCGGCTCTGACCGCGGCGGGCGCCGCTGCCGCCGCGGGGCGGGACCCGCCGCCCGCCCGCGGGGGACCCCGGCGCGGGCGAGGCTCGCCTCCGAGCGCGGCCGGCCTCCTGAAGGATCGCCCGGGGCCGAGGGCCGGAAGAGGAGGAGGAGGAGGAGGACGACAACGTCGTCCGACGACGACGACGACGACGACGACGACGGCGGCGACGACGACGACAACGAGACGACGACGACGAGACGAGACGACGACGACGAGACGACGACGACGACGACGACGACGACGACGACGACGACGACGACGACGACGACGACGACGACGACGACGACGACGGCGGCGGCGGCGGCGGCGGCGACGGCCACGGCGGCGGCGGCGGCGGCGGCGGCGACGGCGGCGGCGGCGGCGGCGCGGGTCCTAGCCACAGGCTCCCCGCCCTGCGCGGCGACCCGCTCTTCCAGGGGAGGGAGCGAGGCGGGGGCGGGGGGCGACATGAGCACAAGCTTCGGATCCCTCCTCCCCCCCTCTCCTCTTCCTC